GAATAGTTCTTAATATATTGATCTTCTGCCATTTTATTTACTTTTGTAAATTTATTCCCATACAGTGGTAGCAGAAGAAGAGTATAATCTGATTACTTTTTCCTGGTGTGGTGTTGCTGGTTCAGATCCAATCTCTGGGTGGTTTTATGTCCGTAACACAAACTACCCTGTGATTTAGCAACAGCTAACAATCCGGTTCATGTCAGAAAGGGCTCCCATGACAAACTTCTCATGAATTTTGATGGTGAGTCAACATCCACACTATGATCCTTCCCATCTGCAAGTAGGTTGCCAGATGACTTCCTGCTTTCAAGATTTCTCCATGCAGTATTTTATGGTAGAAATTTGTTATAATGACAACATGTCCCTATCAAATACAGACTTAAAATAAATTTCAGGTTATTGAATCCGAAGTGATACTCAGACATGTCAGTTCCCTTTGGGTTTGCTTCTTATTTCCTTTACAGGCTCCACCTTCTAACAGCTGAAAACTTCTCCACATATATCATATGTACATAATAATATATTGCATGTTCATAATAGTATATCTTCATTTTTGTTCCACAGTTCTTAGTTACACATGTTGAATCTGTAAATATCCCAAAAATTTCAAAAGTACGCTAGCAAAAGCATTACAAGCCCCATAAACGTCAACTACTATAAAGGGTTTATAAATAGTCCCTCTTCCATATAGTTACACGTATGTTCTATCTAGCCAACATAAGAAATAACTTTCAGCAATAGTTTGTCAAACACTGCCGTTGAAAAATTTTTATCACAAAATCCTGAGTTTCCTGATATTGCTGTCAAAATATGCTACTTGGGTTCTTTACTTGGGCAAGTAACCCGAACTGATAGTTTTTTCCTGTCCAAGAGAGATTACAGTTGAACTGCTTAAAGGAACAGTGAAAGAGAGTCTTAATAGATATACATCTGTGTTGTAACTATGGAACTTGTACTGCACACAGGTATTTCAGCATTATTTACGTTAGCATTTTAGTTCTTTAGTACTTAGATATAATGCTTTAGGATTAAAACATTAACCAATACATTCAAAAACCCCCATAAGGTATACCGAACATGATAGCAAGACACGCAGAGAAACGTCTTCAGAAAACTACCGGTGATGTGTTCAATCTCAGGAAAGTTTTCTCCACAGCTTACAGCTGCAGCCCAAACTTCACATGAGTCTGTGTGAATTGGCATCTATCCTGTAATGGCTGAACAGTTCAGGAAAGATGCAAAACATCTCAAACCAAGCCTTTCCAATGAGGCAATCTCCAACATAACAGCATCACGTTAAAAATTCCCACCCAAAAGGGCTGAAAACCCAAGAGCTTTTCATTCCCTATACGTGGATGGCCAGAGCTGGCTGGTTGTACTGGGAAACATATGCTGCAACCTATTCCCAGGGCGTGGAGGAAAGAATACAGCTGCTTTCCGTAGAGCAGACTGCACGCTGCCAAAGACGCCCCATCTCTGCTTCAGCCGTTCAATAGAGCTGAGTGTATAATGTGATATCACTTATTTTGCAGTATTAACTTCACGGAATTTGCACTTTTTATGACTGAGTCCCAAACAAGAACCGGGACTTCTTTGACTTCATTCAGTTTGAGCCCTATCTGCCATAAAACTTTTTCTGAAGGCTCTAACACATACTCCCAACACCATCCTGCCAGAGTTTTATCTCTCCCTACACTTACACAAGCCAAGCTGTACATGGAGAAAACAAAAGTGGCTCTTTAATAACTAACTTTAAAAATCTATACTGTGCTCTGGTATACTATGTATGCCCTAGTAATTCCCTGCAGAAGGTTGTTACAAGTGAGGAGGTTGCACAAGATAAGAGCTGCAGACATCGAAGTCCCTTTAATGCAATGGACCAGCTCTGAAATACAGAGTCACATGTTTGCTTAGATAAACACCTAAATGATCCTTATTATTACACAATGTTTAAAAAAAAGAGAGGTCATGCTGAGCCTACAGATGTGCACAGACTAGAAGGCCCTTCAAGCAACCCTTGTATCCTGAAACTGCTGGAAGCCTCAAGCACCAAAACCACTGCAGACTAGATCCTTCAGTAACACAAGCACTCTGAAGAGAGCACAAAAAGAAGACCAACAGACTTCTCCACCTTCAAATGCTGGACCCTCCTGCAAGAAAATGTGAAAGCTTTGGCCCCTGTGAAAGCAGAGTAGCTCCAGACCTTCTTTTGAGATGTTCTGTCCACATGTGTTTCCCATGCATCACACACTGGCTACATCAACAACTAAACAAAAATCTAGAACAAACTGTTTACAAGTTCAGCTTTCCATGTTTACCCACACGCTTTATCTCCCTCCTCCCCCAGAAGGCAACCTTGGCTTTTGGGACCAGAAAAAAGGAAATCAAAGAAATTCGCTGAGAAAAAGAATAAAGGCTTTTCTTTTTCCTGGAAGACGAGCGTGCTGCATCTTAACAGGGCTGGTTGCATGTTGCAGCTGCCACCTGCTCCACTGCACCGGCCCTGACCAGGAGTACCTGCATACTTGGCACATGCCAATGGGAGGCCCATTGCCCTCAGAAGCTCATTGCAATACTGTCGTGACAAGAGGTGGTGTAACCGCTTCCGCATTTGGTAAGACAGCAAACCCTGCTGCTACACTCAGAGAGAGCTGAGAGCTCTGAACATGAGCTTCTGCCCTGCACTACAAAGTCCAGAGTACAGGGAGGACCTCATCTTCCCATTCCTCCCCACTTTGCGCACAAGCACAGAGCACTGATCGTCTGACATCGTGGTGGCGACTGCAGTACAAATGCAATTTGAGGAATCTTACTGAAAAACCCTCACATCTTCAGCTTCCACAATACATACACTCACAATGAAATATGAAAACAGAAAGACAACTGTGGAAGGATAATTTTCAAGATATCCTGTGACTGCTGAACTCAATCATTGGTACGGAAGAGAGCATTCACAGCTGTGATGGCTACTTAACCTTTTACTGAGTAGTGCAGGAATTACACCTGCTGCACCAAGAGCTCTGATAGCTCAAAAAAATTGCATTGTTTGAGCATGGAGCTTAATATGAGGCACCTGCCAAAAATCCCGACCCGACTCTCGACAACTCATCTGACAACCTTTTCTTTTTCTAAATCTCCTCTATCCCAAGGTGCTTACTCAAGCTATGAAAAACATTGGGGGAAGGGTCTGATTTTCAGCCCTTAGGCTCATGAGCATGATTCCCATGCAACCCTCCATGCACGAGGGTTTTCACACTCCGGTCCTTGGTGGGCTCCCATAAGCACTCCTCGGTTACTGAATGCTGTTCCACTACAGCTGCCAGAATTAAATGTGCAATTACTCCTGCCACCCTCTCCAAATGACAGCATGCAGATCATAACAGCAGTACCTCGCTCAGCCCCCAGGGCAGCCTAGCTTAGGAGAAAGCAGCACTCTGCAGACCTGGTACCAGCAATCCTCCTCAAGAGCCACAGGTGAGGCAGAGGCTGTTGCTTACACCAAGCACCACCCCGATTCCTGTTCAGTGCTGCACACATTTCCAGGCCACGGCTATCAGATGTGACTGCTCCTGCTCCTCCCCTTTTGCTGGCAGAGGCTGCAGCTGACTGTGCTCCCTTGTAGCCACCTGAGCAAAATCCCTCCTCTAAAACTGGTTTGTATTTCCCATTCCTGCACTCTACAGTTTACAAAGGCTGGCTGGCTGCCGTTCTGTCCCTAAGTCCACTGTAATTAGCCAAAATCCTTCTGGCCATACCTTTTTCCATGAGCTTTCCCCCCCTGCCCTCCCTCCCCCTTGGTGTCACTACACTTAGAGTAAGAGAAAGCCATAATACTATGGACACAGTAAGAAAATCCTGCCAACTCAAGACTGCAAGACTTGAGTAAGTGTTTAATTTCCACCTTCTGTTAAAAAGTATCTCACTTAATGTGACCAAACTTGGGTTGCCTGCTGGCTAGTTTCCAACTGGACTGATCCATTTTATTAGGAGCTACTACTACAGGCAGACCGATCTACAGTAGTAATTTGCACTACATTTTTGAACTGGATGCAACCCTGAGCACAGCGTCTATTAACCAGAAGATGCCAAGTCCTTGACAAATTTCACATCTTTAAAAACTAGCAGCAGAGGTTCTCTCTGTGGGGAGAGAGCAGGGCTTCTGTTTTTCCAGGCACTGCTACCTTCCCTTACCACAGCAAAAACTCGTAGGAGCAATAAGTTCTGATCAAATTCCAGCTTGTGTTTAGTTTACAATGTAAGCTTGATCTCACACCAATGCTATTTTAATTTAACCAGATGGGAGAACATCATGTCTCTCTTTCTGTTTCAAACTCCAGGTTAGGAAAGACAGTGAATTGTCCTGGTGTGGAACAGACTAAAATCTGCCATCCAAAAACTATTCTAAATCTCTCTGAAGTTGAGACAATGAGAAATTAGCTACTTTCATAGAGGTGACACTGTCTTTAAAGGCTGCAGCTTCTCAGGTCACACTGAGATTGATTCAGCACATGCTCTACAGCTGTATTGTGAAAGCTGGACACATTCCTTAAACATGTAAAAAGCAGCCTCTGCACATTGACCCTCCTTGCCTCCATAGTGAAAGTCAGGTTCACATAAAAAAATTAAAAAAAAAAAAGGGCGGGGGGGAACCCTAGCAGAACCTGGCACTAGAGAAGTGAATTGAGGTTGCTGCTCCTACTAACGGGTAAAATGGTCAATTACACAGCTTTCCAGTGAAACACCAGCAAGCTAGAAATGACCGATCCCAGATCAGCGTGTGCGTAGCACACCTCTTGCTACCTTCCAAGTTCTGCCTGAAATCTTCACAGCTGCTATCCTGTCTCAAATGCACACAGCCTGCACTTTCTTCTGCTTTTGCATTCCTTTGATCCTTTTATGCCATCTGACTGTTAATTGCTGACATATCAACCTCACCGTAAGGGCTGCCTAATTAACTTCGCCAGTTTCACCACGTCTCTGCCATGTGATTAATTAGCCCACTGTTCTGCCACACGGCAGACGCGACCTGAATTTGATTCATCACTGGCGTCTGCTTAGCCCGTTATCACTTGCAAAGGTCCTCCTAAGGCCTCCGAGAAGGTCCTAGGGGCATCTGCATCACGCCTTCCCCACCACCTCCAGCGCCAGCAGCCGCAGGGGGAACTCTTCCCGCGCTGGAGCCTCAACGGGCGAGCGGCGCTGCCTCCAGCCCCAAGCGCAGGCAGGGGCGCAGGCAGGAAAAGTGACCAGAGCACAGCGTGTTCTGGCGCTCCTCGCTCTGGCAGCTGCCGAGAAGCTGCTGCCTGAGGACATCCCTCCCAGGCCTGCGCTAATTTATGCCAGAAGTGGCTCCGGGCTCTCGGACGGCCTCGCAGAGGCACGGTGGAAAATTGTCAGGGGCAGCGCGTGGAGCGAGGCCCCAGAGCTCACGCGCCTGCGGAGCCACGCGCACCCCTGTGCTCCTTCCAGCATCACCCCAAACGCAGGCTCTGCCCTCCTCTTCGCCTGCCAGCCTGCTTTGCAGGATAGCTGCGGGCCTCTTCTGCCCCACCGCTCCCCGGGACCCACACCACCGGCACGGTGAAGGGAGCACGGGGCACGTGTGAGGAGCAGCAATAGGAAAAAGACGTAAAGATGCAGCTCACGGTGCCAAGAGGGCGCAACTCCACACCGCCACCGCGGGGCTCAGCACAAGGACCAGCGTGTTGTTGGCTGGGCGAGGGTTTCCTCAGCCCTCTTACGGGGCTCGTCCAGCGTCGGCGTTGGCACTGGGCGCTCAGGAGGCCGCGGGGGCTC